GGAAAAATAATATATTTGGCGACAATAATGGATATAAACAGAAACTCGGCCTACTAGTCCGAAAACGAAGACAATGTTTCGACCCAAACTTCCCGCGTGCTCGATAACTCGATAGTGCACGCTAAAGCATGAACCAATTGTTAAACAATAATCCTCCACTGGCGCTTAAAATAGAAACGGTTTTAACAATTCTTCGGCAGCATTACGATAACGGCGCAATTCGTTCGTCTACACATAAAAGCATTCTATGCCAGGGAAGCCACTAAGTTTGTCGGATGTGATATATTATTACCGACCATAATAGTGCCACTATCACAATTACAACGAGATCATTTGTTGTGAAAATCAAACTTTCCCGCGATGGATATGCAATTAGTGAAACTAGACGCGGTTTATGAGGCTTTTAAAGTCAGTGAAAAACTGATCTACAATAGTGTTCAAATGCTTCACCTTCCCCGAAAAAAAGTGCAACGCCAGAGAATGGTCAAGAAGGATACGTTTTGGCACAGCTTGCCAAATACCAAGGTTCTGATCCTTTTTATCCACCTTAAGACGGGAGTAATGACAGTGAAGGCCGGGAGTCGGGAAGCAGAGGAGCACTAAAGTACGGGAGGCGTTCGAATTTCAAAAAGTGAAAAGAACTACCGCGGTACTCGGCTGACATTTTGTGCTCTTTCTAATTGTGTAATCCGTAATCGGCCCGTGGACATTACCGTTGTATGATGCCCTGATCTGATCTCGCTCTGGCCAATCGGACGGCGTGTTATATCGGCCACAAGGCAAAGCCATGTAGCGAAACGTGTTAAGTCTACTTAACACGTGTCTAGTTGTACTGCGTGTTGTGCTGCTATATATAAATTCATATACGGTAGCACAACACACGGTACAAGTATTAATTACAAAGAAATTTTCTATTCCATCTACAGCACTCCGACCTACAGTCGTTAAATCAGACGGATGAAATCAAATATTTCCGTAGAAATTTTCTGTTCCGTCTACAATACTCCGATTTTCAGTCGCTAAATAAATCAAATATTTTCATTCATTTAACTGTCAAAAATGTACGTAGGCAAGACAAGAGTTATCACAAATTGATGCTTCAACCCTACGTATTCCTCTGTTGTCAGTGTGTTTCACTGTCTTCAGATTCGCTCTCTTCATCCTCGTACTTGAAAGCAATATAGATAACGTACCCGGCTGCCAGGCTTCCCTGCAATTTTCCAGGGTCCAATGAGTCGTTTGCCAACCATTGATCACACTCCTCATAAGCGAAATGGGTGATTAAAGCACTTTCAAGACCAAGGACATAAAGCTGTTGGTTCCAAACGTCTTTGCGCTCCATTTTGAGCATTGCACGGGACACAGCTCCTAAAACAACCAAACCTTCATACCCTTCCTTTTCATACTTTCCAAGCCAGCGATTGCTTATACCCTTTAGCCTCCATGTATTTTCATCGTTTCGTTTGAATGTTTTACCCGCTTTCGCTTCCGCGTACGTTTTCCCGATACAAAACTGTTCGACGCTCTTTCCGGATTCAAGTTCCAAACAACGTATTGTTTCGTGTACCTTATAGATCAGTAAATCTATTCTCGCACGCTGCGATGAATTACGATCAAAAGCAGCCAAGTTAAAAGCGTAACTCTGTTCTTCTCCACGGCAAAGTTGTTCAAAAGTTGTATCACCGGTCGATGAAGCTGTCGAGCCAGACTCTGATGAACTCATAGTAAATCAGTTGAAGCTTAACTGAGAAACAAACTTAATTGGTCAATGTTGAGTTGTTCGTTCTGGAGTCCACTTCTTTTGAAGGATATCAATTTAATCCGTTGGCGTCTTTGATCTCTGAGCTGTTGGAATCATGGAACAGTTTGATAACTGGAACTTCCTTAGCAATGAGCCAACGGTGCATGCAATCACATGTCTCGGCATTTACCTAATTATGCAACATATTGTTTCCCACGTGAACAGTACTTTCACATAGTGTTTATTAAGTACCTATTCAAGCTGGACACTTAAAATGGGTCTCTTGCATTCTATCAAACAGCTGCATGTTAATTTCTGAACAACACGACCGGACGTACTATAACGAATTCAAATTTTATCCTGTTTCAAGGGAGGGAAAAGATGTAAGAAATTTCTCAATTTCCAAAGTTGGGTAGTGATTGCATCACTCTATTACGTATCAGTCCGTCAGTCTAAGAAAAACAACGTAACAACTTTAAATTTTGTTGATGTACAATCAACAAGCCTTTTTGCCAGTAGCATATAATTTTAGAAGACGTATTCTTCGCTTGAATGGAGGTCTTTTCATCTTGACAGGTCTAGCATAACATGACAGTTGTCTGAAAACAAAGCAAAGTTGCTTGTTGTGTCAAATGTGGAAGCTTCGGCTCCTTTGAAGATTCGCGATATCTTTAAGGAGTGCATCCACCAGAAATGGGCAGGTATTCAATCTAGGTATCAGACTGATTTGAGGCTTCTTTATATTTTATACAAACAGAAAAGAGCTCTAGTGTGACCCGGCCAGCCGTAACAACTGTCAACGCCATATGCTCATGTCCTGTTCTCTACCGATAAAAATAGATTAATATGGGGACCATTAACAAAGCATCGAGCGAAGGTAAAGAAATCTTAAACATGCAAACGACTAAACATGATGAAACTGCCAACTTATCGGCTAGAAATGTAAACACAAGCAGCTTAAGGTGGCAAAATGAGCCTCTGTAATTATACAAATATTTTGAAATTACGCAACAGCCGTAAAAATAAAGGTTTGTATGGGTGCAAACGATCGCGCTCTCAACCTTAAAGTGCTACTGCGACGAAATTTTTGCATTTTATTTTCCCAATTTTCTGGTGTTAACTTCACATTTAGACCCTAAACTATAAGAATAAGCGTAAGTTTCTCTAATTTGACGACGTTATTCCTTAAAAACAATGCCGCGAAGACATTAAAAATTCTTCCGCCATTGCTCGAATAACCCACTGGAGAGCCCGCCAAAATAACTACAGCGGTTTTAGTTGTGACGTCATCGACTCACTTCGACAACGGCGCGAAAGCATGCCTTCACGAAAAATACGCAAAAGAAAGCTGGGGAACAATTTTTTCGAATTTATTCCTTCTTTCCTGCGGAACCAGAAAAACAACTCCCTCTCGGCATACCAAATTAGCCACGTTTGTTGAGTCGTTGACGCCACTTCCGTTCTCGACCCAGTTTCTTCTTCTTCGCGCGGAATTCTGTAGTTCGAATAATGGCGGCCGTTTAGATCACGACTCTACAGGGAAAATAATATTACTTCTAGATGGAGTTTTGCCTTAAGATTTGGCAAATTTTATACTTAGGGTAAGTACTTTCAACCTCTGAGGAGAAAAGAAAAGGTGCATTTTTGGTCGCAATAGCACTTTAAAAAATCTGAACTAATTTTGAATAAAAGTTTTCAACTGCTTTACCTTCTATATAAGGAAAAGATCGTATGGAAGGCAAGGCAGCTGAACTAAAACCAAGCTAAGCAGCCTTGAATATGTCAATGAAACTCAGCCAATGCAAAGGAACAAGCACTTGAGCGATGTAAGTTTGTTCTATTCTGTGACATACACAGTTCAAACTTCTGGGCTATCAAACGTGTAGTGCCATGATCTTCATGTTAACAGTCACTGTTACGTGTAGAACCATGGAGTACTTCCGCCATGCTGGTAAGGAATTTTATGCGATTACGACATTTTGAAAACTAGAAGTGATGCGCACAACATGGAGTACGTTATTGCTGGGGGTACGCAGTTCGACAACACGGAAGCCATCAGCGAGGCAAGCCCCACTTCAAAAGTCACAAGCAATGATTTCATTCCTTAAGAGCTCAAGAGAACAAAGGAGACTTATCTCTGACTAGCCAGTCCGTTCTGTTTTTAGATGTAGGGATATTTTTAGAGATATCTTTTATAATTGTAGCGCTGATCACAAGTTTACACCAGCTGTTCCTTCTTGGTTCAGCCGATCGGTTTAATCAGGACAAGTAAAGATTATTTCAGTTTGTTGTTGATCATTTTTTTGGTAAAGCAACTTCAATATTAGTTATCATCACGAGAGAAAGTTGTTTTCAGGTTTCTTGTTTCTCTCGTGTATCATCAGAAATCTTTGAAACAAACGAGCCCTCTGAAGACGATTTGCATCCATTTTTTTTCTTTTTTTTTTTGGATCACACGTTGTAGATTGTGGGGTATAAATGACTCTTGCTCTGCCCCCCTTTCTTTTCAAAATGGTGGCAAGGGGTAATGGTAAGAATGTGTTTGGGATGGGAAAGTATTTTGGAAGTTTTTTTTCCTCTCGCAAGCGATGAAAGTTTTCTCCCCTACAGGCCTCTGCGCTAATTTTTAAATAACTTCTCAAAGAAATATGACATTTGAAAAAAAAAAACAGTATTGCATAATACAACCAATAAGCGATTAAAAGTCAAAACCTTCCCTCCTAAAAGTTAAACTGTTAGTTTTAAAGGCTGCGTAGAGCGTCTTCAGGCAAAACACTTGGAAACAGTGTCTCATCTTATTACCAAGGTTCCACATCTTCGGGATCTTATACATCCAAGGAGAAAAATTCATGGAAGTCATCCCCTATCCCGTAGGCTACGATTTGGCCCAGGCCACTTGGCTAATCCCTGGAGTAGGTTCACAAACACCACGTTCTAAACTCTAGTCATATCAGTTGAATAACGGATTCAAACCATCTTATATATCAACCCAAACCACTCGAACAAAGAAACAAAATAACCAAAATTAATTGATTTTGAGCAACTGAAATAACAACCCCCCACCCGCAATATAGCAAAGCTAAGAGAGGCGGATGGGAAACAAACACTAGATAAATGTTTTAAAAGGAAGTTTGACTGAACAGAGGAAATTACTAGGAGAGCATTTTGTTTTTTTTTTTTTTTTTTTTTTTTTTTTTTTTTTTTTTTGTTGTTGACTAGGAGAGCATGCATATACACAAACAATAACAATACAGTGCGATAAGTTATAAATAAGCCAATTGAGTATTACATACTACAACTGGAATAAAATTATAGGCTGAGAAACAACAACAAATGAAATAAAAAAGATTATAGTTTTCTAAATTTATCAATTAAAGTATGGACGTCAACATAAGTTTCCTCTTGAATCAAAATGTTCCGCAGCCGTCTATGTAACACTCTTTTAAATATTCACTTAGGTAGAGAAAGAAGACAGATGGAAATAATTTTCCAAATCCTTGAGCCCAGTCTTAAAAAAAATTTTATATATATACATATATATATATATAGTCTGTTCTCGAATGTTTAAGACAGAGATTTTCAGCCGCTGAGGACCTTGTATTAATAGTAGTTGTGCTTTTCTACTTCCAGGGTCAGTTTACCCCAGGGGGTAAATTCACGGATATCAGCCTCTATCCTCCATGGCCCATACCACTTGGCCAACTCCAAAACTACGTTCACAAACACCATGTTCATAATTCCAATCGGATGGAGAACGGAGTTCACTTCTTCTGACTACCATCTCAAAACACTTGTTGAGCAAGTTAGAAGATGCAGTGGTCTGTTTTATGTCAGTTACTAATGGCACTTTTTGCAAAACGTCACCTGTTGTGTTTGAAAATCTCTGCACGGACAGAGGCGTCTGGCAGAAGGTTCTTTAGCTACGCATGCGAACAGAACAGGCTGTTCCTGCAGCGTGCACGTTAGGGTTGACACATCGTAGCTTGGAGCTATCAGTGACTCTTTGGTCTCCACATGGGTACACTTCATTCCAAATCTTGTAAAAGGAAACATCGATATCTTATTGGACATTTTGACATGTGGTGTCGCAAATTTTTCTTAGGGGTTGTGCCGTATCATGATGAGTCCACAGGGCGAGTCAAAATACAAACGAGTAAAATACTCGTGCAAGACTACACACCAAAACTTCTACTAAGTTATTTATCATATCGAAACAGCTGATTCAGCTGGGCATTTTTAAAGGAGAAAAGAAAACAAGAAGGAGAAAAAAAAGAGAGAAAACTTACCTTTTAAGGTCTTCTTCAGTGTTTACGTCTACAAAGAAGGTCGGTTCGCACAGTAGTTCTGAGAAAGCCGGAGAAAACGATACATGATATGAGCCTACATGACCTTCAAAAGAAGGAAAGCTGTTGAACATTCCACAAGTTAAGTACAATTACGTATGATGCACGATCCTCGTAGTAGAGAGTGCTATTTATGCAATAGCGAAAATCTGACCTGAAAAAAATCAGGCCTGTACGGGATTCGAACCACTGACCTCTGCGATACTAGTGCAGCGCTCTACCAATTGAGCTAACAAGCCAACTGGGAACGGGCCGTTAAGTTGATTCGTAATAAACCCGTGATGATAAATCAGATACAATGTATATACGAAGTTCATATATTTCGAACTGCGGTATTAAATACGTATGATGCACGATCCTCGCAGTACGAGGATCGTGCATCATACGTATTTAATACCGCAGTTCGAAATATATGAACTTCATATATATATTGTATCTTAAGTACAATTGTAAGTCATAGTGGAACTCTGTGACTGGCCTATAGTAAGAAGAAGGGGGAAAGAAATGAAAAGTGGAAAAGAAAGGCCCGCTCACCACGTTCTTTGCAGACCTCAACACACGATTTCCCTGCAGCACCCATCACTAGCGTCATTTCTGATAATGGGGGCCACCGCTCGATATGCTCGCAAAAGTTCTAAGGAAAAAATATCGCACAATTCTGTAAATTGGTTTCTATTCTTCCTCATCCGTTGAGTACAATCATTTTCAATCCGCCCCTTCGGCGATTTTCATTTCTCACTCCGATTCTTCCTTTTTCTTTTAACTTGTGACTGACGAGCCCAACCGCATTCGATTTACCTAACACCCAAAAGCCGTGCACTATCTATTCAAAACAGGTCTTCGAAATCTTCAAGTCCTTTGCTCTGTTTTTCTAACAATAACTAACAATGTTCATGTTTCTTCAGTCGACTTTCTTTTTTCTTTCCAAGTTTTTCATCGATTTCTATCCAACATTCCTAACACTAGGCAAGCACATCAGCAGTAAATCTCTTCATCAACATAAACCACATAATAAGTTACAAAAACTTGGATCTGAAAATCCATCATTAGAACGTCTCTCTCCAAAAGTGAGTGGACAATTTCGTTTCAAAATAAATGTGTTCCGAACTATGATGCAGATTGCATTACTTTCCGGAAGAACAAAAAAGTTACTTCTTTAGGAGATACGAATTGTAACTGCCAGAAATAGCTAGATACATACATGCACGTAGGTACTCACATGATATTCTGTGAAAGCATTCACACGTTCCAGCATGCCTTTATGCGTCCATTCACGAGGAAGGTATGGCTTGACCTACAACAGCATAACAACGATCAATCAACCAATCAGACAGTCTAACTTTCCATTCGTTAGTTAGCTTCCATCATACAATAACTCAGTCAGTCACGTTTATCCGTCTTTCAGTCAGTCAGTCAGTCAATTAGTCAGAGACTCAGTCCCTCATTCAGGTAGTCTGTGGTTCTGCAGCCAGACAGTTGGCCAGCTTTAGTCCGTAAGTCGTTCACCACCCCCCGAAAAAAGAGGGACGAGGGAAACTGTGTGGTTTTGTAAATTGCTACCATGCAGGGTTGTGAAAAATATTTTGAGTGAGCGGACTGTCGTACATAGTAGACAGCACAATGTCATGCCTTTATGCTGAGAATTGAGCCACAAGCATTCTGAAAAGCCATTGTGTTAATCAAAGTAGACAGTGAAACGTGCCAGTTGCCAGTTTTTTTGACAACCCTGATCATGATTTATCATGCCTCATACAAGAGGTGACTGTGGTGGGGGTTGGCTACACTCCTCACATTTAATCAACTACAAAAAAAAAAGAAAGGAAAAAGAGATTTAATAAGAATTGTGAAAGCAATTTCATTTTGAATACAAGCATTCTACTAAATATAAGCTTTCTAATAACACGATCCCTGTAAATATAATAAGATGATACACTTGGTAAGCTTGCCATACAAACTGCACCTCATTTCTTTCTTTGAGTTTTGTTATCATAACGATGATTGGACATTGGTGATGCCATATCATTCTCCAAAAATCTTTTACTGTATTTGACAAAGGACCTAGACGAGAAAACATTAATGATATTCTTCAAAGTTTTACATAAGGAGGAGGTTACTTATAGATTATTATACCATTTGTGTGTGTTTGTGGGTAAGCTCTACAAGAAATTTAAAAATCCCAATCCAGTGTTAGGTTGGCAAGCTCTCAAGACCCCTCCTAGCATCTTTACTACTGAAGCTCAATCTTGTTGAATCCTTCACAAATTGAAATCAGCATTCATGTTCTTGATGGTGTTCAATATACATTGCCTTAAGTGCTGACTAGGAGAATTTGTTTAATAATCAAGAATAAATTAGTGGAATGAAAAGCGTTCATTGATACCTGTGGGATTTAGACTGCTGGTTTGAAAGATGAGCACGCACAACCCACAATTCCTCTACTCGCTCCGACGAAGGGCTAACACTTGAAATGT